GAACCCAGCCAATGTCACCATATAAAACGGTTTAGGACTGGAACACGGCCAATGTCACCATATAAAACGGTTTAGGACTGGAACACAGCCAATGTCACCATATAAAACGGTTTAGGACTGGAACACGGCCAATGTCACCATATAAAACGGTTTAGGACTGGAACACAGCCAATGTCACCATATAAAACGGTTTAGGACTGGACACAGCCAATGTCACCATATAAAACGGTTTAGGACTGGAACACAGCCAATGTCACCATATAAAACGGTTTAGGACTGGAACACAGCCAATGTCACCATATAAAACGGCTTAGGACTGGAACACAGCTAATATAACAACATATAATGATTTCAAGATCTTCCCAGACAACTGCTGTGATCTGGATTGTCGAACTTCATGACTGATGTTTAAACAAACTGTTACACTAGCTAGTGAAGAGGGACGTTAGTCAGGTGAGAAAAAAATGTGTCAAAGTTAGTTACTTCAGTACCGGAGGTGGAAACGAGTTACACAATTTTCCAGTGAAGAAATAGTTTCTTGCCTCAAGATACATCATTGGCATACTAGACTGAAATTGGTATACTCTGTGTGCCCCAGATGTTTGCCAGATGTCATAGCTTGAGGGACGGGAGGATACCGGGGACGGTCTCTGTAAGAGTGAAAGTAGACCGACCATGCTGCCACAAAAGGTCAACCAATTCACTTTCATTCTAAATTCTTTATCGGGCTAATCATATAAAAGGTAATGGCATCCAAGAAGCCAAAGTACAGTCGCCTTAGCTCAACTACAAGCAACCATGAAAACACATGTAAGTACATCAGTGACACTCGTGAAATTAGAATTGTATTTTTTTTAAGTATTACATACTAAATTGTTAATATATTTTACTCCGTTACTTTCTTTAAGTAGGTTTTAAACTGCCTTTGTTGCATACTTAATGAAAAGGATTAGGTGTATTTATATTTTTTCTATTTTTCAGATCGCCATCATTCTTTTTACCGCTACCCTTACTTACGCTGGAGTATATCAACATGAACCCCTGTACGTTGTCCAACATGCCCCCGCTGTCAGTAGTGCTGGTGCTTACGGTTCCGGTTACTCGGGTTATGGACATCTAAACAGCGGATACGGAGCTCATGGCTACGGAGCCGTCCGTGACAAAGCTGCCCACGGAGCCTATGCCCATGGCGATGCCGCTGTGGATGCTGATAGTGCCCACAGGGATTTGAAAGCTCACGGTGCCGTCGGTGCTGCCCACAGCAACTTTAAGGATAAAGGTTTCTACGCCCGTAACCGTGGCTTTGGATATGAAAAGGCCTTCGCTTACGACAAGCAGTTGGCAGCTCACGACATCGGAGCCAAGTCTGGAGCTTACGGCCAAAAGTTCGGTCTCAGCGACAACTACGGCCACAGCAATTTGGACGCCCACAACAAATATGCTCATGGAGCACAGGGAGGCCACGACAGATACGGAGCAGCCGGTTACGGTAGTTACGGACATCTGAACACCGGTTACGGCGGTGCCGGATACGCTCACGGAGCCAAGAGCTACTCCCATCAGCCTGCTGCAGCCTACGTTGTTGCTCATCCTGCTCCAGCCCACAGTTACAGTAGCCCTTACACCAAGATCACCTATCATTAAATAATAGAATATTTGAATAAAACTTTAATGTCATAATTATCTTTAAAGTATACCAGTGTAAAACATATTTAAATAATTTAATACTATTTAAACTGTTTTATTGTCAGGAACTAAGTCTGATTGTAGTCGCTCCTTCTTAAATTCTAGTATGACCTAATGACCTTACAGAGAAATCCTGGTTTATTTTTCCTCTTTCTTGTGTAGTTATTTATTTATACATATAAGATCTTTAAAATGTTGATATTCTTTTAATTAAAAAATCCACTTGTTATTGAATTGTTTTTTTTTGTAAAACTGTACTGTCTAAATTTCCCCGTCTAGTTTGTAAATAAAAACTAAATATAAACGCTTAACTTGTGAGTGAAAGTAAAAAACATGATCAGAAAAATGTCTCTTCTAACACCAGGTGGAGAATGTGTTAAACCAGAGAGAACAATCGTATAAACAATAAAATTGTAACAATCATCTCGAGTGAACACGTATTTATAAAAGGTTCTTAATATTTTATCATTAGTTATTGCATGTTCCCACTTCTTATGTTCTGAACATTTTGAAAATAATAATTTCAACACACATAGAAACATTTAATGGATTAACTTTTAAATATACGTGGAAAACGGATACGTTAACCTGTAGGCTACGCCAGGCCTAGTAATCTAAAGTATAACAGAAGTGATAACGCTAACCGCTAGGCCTAATAATCTAATATGTAACAGAAGTGACAACGCTAATCGCTAGGCCTAATAATCTAATATGTAACATAAGTGACAACGCTAATCGCTAGGCCTAATAATCTAATATGTAAGTAACATAAGTGACAACGCTAATCACTAGGCCTAATAATCTAATATGTAAGTAACAACGCTAACCACTAGGCCTAGTAACTTAGAGTCACAGAAGTAATAACGTTAACCATTAGGCTTAGTAATCCAATATGTAACAAAAGTAACATGATAACATCCATTGATTGATTATGCTTCACAAATAAGGGTAATACGAGGTTAACTGAATTTACCGAAATATTCTCCGAACAAAGTAACCATATCGTGTTGTCGCTCAAAACAACAACAACAAAAAAAAACAAACAAAAACAATCTGAATCAGCAATGCACGCGCTCGTTGTGTTATCACTCAAAAAGACTAAAGATAATGAAACGACCATTTCTGTTCGCTTTTGGTTCAAATATAACCCATGTAGTCCAGACAGCAAAGTAATTTGTACATTGTAATTACTTTCCGTACAGCAACACGCTGAAAATGTCAATATGTTTTACATCTTTTAATGTAATAAAGAAAACTACACAGGAATCAACGGGAGAAATTAAAGCTTGCAAGAAGACTATTTTGAAAACGCTCAGATGTATAACATACCTCACTATGAATCTCTGTACAAAGGTTTAATATAGAATAGATACAGCCCTCTGGTAATTCAACGGTAAGCTTAAGGGTGCATGGTGCTAAAATTCGGGGTTGGATTCTTGTGGTGGGCATAGCGCAGGTAGCTCAGTGTTCAGCTTTGCGCTTAAATGTAGTGTTTTCTATTCTGTTTTAAGTTCTTTACAATAAAAAAATATATCTTTATTTGGATTTAATATATTTAATATATTCATTAGAACGACGCGTAGTGGGAATAAAATGGTACTAAAAGTTGCTAGATTGTATATAAACGATTAGGTACAAACATATATTAAACATTATTCTCAATAACTGTTTTTCTCTGCATATTATTATAATTTATAGTTATAATAAACATCATTATCCCGAATACCTTATTTCTATTTGTGAAATAACGGGTAGTTTTTCAAAGATAAGATTTTGAAATATGAAGAAGATAAAATATATTATATTTTAACTCAATAAAAACATGGAAATATCATATGGTTTAAGAGATAAAAAGGTTTACGTGTTTATCTATTTTATATAAAAAATCTAGGTTTCATATGCCTAATAATTGGCACACTGAAACGGTGTTCTTTTTCATAATTCCATTTATGTGGTGATCTTTTCCCGCTTTATTACTTTTGTCACGTATGTGTTGATTTTGTCACGCTTTATTAATCTTGTCAATCATGGGTTGATCTTGTCACGCTCTATTGTTCTTGTCAATCATGGGTTGATCTTGTCACGCTATATTAATTTTGTCAATCATGGGTTGATCTTGTCACGCTCTATTAATCTTGCCAACATGGGTTGATAATGTCACGCTATATTAATCTTGCCAACAAGTGTTGATCTTGTCACGCTATATTAATCTTGTCAATCATGGGTTGATCTTGTCACGTTATATTAATCTTGCCAACATGGGTTGATAATGTCACGCTATATTAATCTTGCCAACATGGGTTGATA